ATATAGTAAAGATAAATCACAAGGAGAAAAACGAAAAACAGTCTGAGTGCATAATCTAGTTCTCAACATTAGTCAAGAAAACAATATACAGTATATGTAGGGATTTCACACTGCTGATAACCCCATATCTAATCAATCAATCCAAATCTACATGTGGCCCCTACCACCTTAAATGGAGTGGCTACTAAAATCTAGTGTTGCTAGCACTGTAATTGGCCTGGCCTTTGTTATCTGTCATTATTGGGTTAATTCCAAGTGTTCTGCTATTGATTGCACCTACTCGAGTGGGAAGTGACACTGCTACAGAGTGGGGCAGCTAATAGGGGAACATTAGGAGTGTCTATGCCTCACCAACCAATCGCTAGGTGTTTCATGACCAGTGGTGCATGCTGGGGGAGAGCATCAATTCTCAGGAATTGCCATGTGCTCAGTCTTCAGTCCACCCTGAAGGTGGGATGTACAAGGATGGAGAAGCTGACTAGGCCTCAAGCCTGGAGGAGGTAACATGTCGACCCAGCTGGAGGTCTGGAAATGTCTGGGAGATGAGCCCTATGACTGTTTGAAGTACCATGAGCTGACCTCAGGAGTTAAATCTTATAAAATGCATCGAAGTTCCTTAACTATTAACAAAAATAAATCTTATTTATGTATCACTCGGCTGTAGATCCTCCAATCATCTCTGAATTGGTGCTGACATTGTCCTTCCTTTTGGAGGGTGGCTACTTTTGTTCCCCATGGTCCCTGTGTGTGTTGTAATGTAGTCGCCGCTCCAAGCTCCCTCCTTTGTGTCAGCACCAATTCAGAGATGATTTGAGGATCTACAGCCGAGTGATACACAAATAAGATGTATTTTTGTTTGTAGTTAAGTTACTTGCATTATTAAGGTTCAACTCCTGATTTTACTGTCACTTTAAGGTTTTAGGAGATGGATTTTTTTTTAGGAAACCTCAACATACTGTATACCTATTGACTTATATTACACTTATTATACTTATACTTTGGATGTGGATATTGGGGAATGTGATATATCAATGTATTTAAACCACTGCTAAGCATCTTTCTGGTCCATCTCATCTGCCAGTCTAGGAGAAGAATTAAATTATGCTTCAGATGAACCCCAATTCCCACACTTCAGACCACAAATGAGTCCCAATCCATACACTTCAGACCACAAATGAGTCCCAATCCATACACTTCAGACCTCAGATCAGTCCCAATCCATACACTTCAGACCTCAGATCAGTCCCCATCCATACACTTCAAACCTGTATCAGTCAATACCCTTCTGGCCTTCAGATCAACCCCAATCAATACACTTTGGACCTCAGATTAGCCTTGATCACACACATGAGACCTCAGATAGTGTAATGGATCCGGGGGACGCCGCCGTTCCGAGTCACGGAAACCGAGCGGAAGCTCCGCCCCCGGACCGACGACGTCATGTGAGACCTCCCCCGGCCTCGTCATAAGCCGCGACCCCACACCTGTCTGGCGTTCCAGCAACCCTATGCGGACGCCAGACGAGTGCCGGTCTCACTGCATGCCGCTACTTCCACCACAACCTTCCACAGCTTCAACCACTCGACAGCTGAACCCCAGCTGACAAGCTACCTTGGGATCTCTGCGCTAGCCTGGCCAGGATTACTCCCACTCAACCTTCCAGACTCCTAAACCGCAAGTATTCCCCTCTGGGTTGCTACCCACAGGGAATTCAATTGTCTGCTATAGTTACCGTGGATTCGTATGTACTGTTGCATTGAAGATAAGGGGAGCCTGCCCTCTGCTGGTGACTAAAGATATTGTCTGTACTACTGAGATTACACTGATTCTGTGGAACCCTTAATTCATACCTACTTTCATGAACTGTGATACTATGGGGTTGATTTACTAACCTTATAAACACACCACGAACATGTATACACCTCTGTAGTGTGTTCCCTCCCAGCATGATCTATGGGTGGAATCTAAACACCTTTGTAGTGTGTACACACCCAGCAGGTGTGTTGTGCAAAGCCCTGCCCTGAATTGCAAGGTGATGTTGTGTAAATTAGCTCTACGTTGTGTTGCTTGCGTTGATGAATGCAGGAATGTAAATGCATGAGCTAACCATTTTTGTCTAAACTGTGAAGCAGCATTATATATGCATCATGTGCATGATTTTTCCATATATGGCATTAGTGGAAATATGCTTATAGAGACTTTTTGGTTGATAAATACGCTTTGCTGTGTAAAAATCACACGCACCTGGTGCGTGCGTGTGTTTAGGTTAGTAAATCACCCCCTATGTGTTTAACATATGTGAAGTGAACATATAAAGTTACACAAACAACAGGTTCTTTGTTATACACCAGATTGGGAGACCAAAGTATTGGGGTTGTGTGAATCGAACATAACTACCATAGAAGTGCATTCCTGTGTGAAGTAACATTAGTGAAGCCTATCACTCCCGCTATTGTTCCTAGAGACCAACCCCTATTAATGCTGCATACCTTAATACCAACTATTGTAGGACTAGTAAGCTTAGTTAGGTTGGAAGATAGACCGATGATGCACTGAGCTTGCTTGGCAATATTAAACCTTGCCATCACGTACTCCTGGACTAGAGCACGTGACTGTTAACGTGTCACCGCAGCTGAGCTCCATCTTCCTATTTAAATAGATTATTACAGATAGGCCCCAATCCACACACTTCAGACCCCAGATCAGTCCCAATTCATACACTTCAGTCCTCAGTTCAGACCCAATTCATACACTTCAGTCCTCAGATCAGCCCCAATCCATACACTTCAGACTAGGGCTGCAGCTAACGATTATTTTCCAAATCGATTAGTTAGCCGATTATTAAGTTCGATTAATCGGTTAATCGGATTTAAAAGATGGCTCCAGTGAAGGGACTACTATGGTAGTATATCACAGGAGCAAGCTTGGAGCGGTGGAAGTTAAAAAAGTGTGGTGTGCAATATAATACATTATACAGCGGCGCAATGCAGAATACCAGCAGCTATAGAGGAATACAACAAATTGCAGCAATATTACATTATACTTTAATGTACTATTGCTGGGATTTGTAGTCCTCTGTAGCTGCTGGTATTCTGCATTGCGCCGCTGTATAATGTATTATTGATGGGATCTGATGTATTCCTCTATAGCTGGTGTTATTGGAGAGGACGGGTATGATGCAGGAATAGAGAGGACGGGTAGGATGCAGGAATAGAGAGGACGGGTATGATGGTGGAACGGGGTGCAGAGGAGGGGTATGATGGTGGGATAGGGTGCAGAGGACAGGTATGATGATGGAACGGAGTGCAGGGATGGAGAGGATGGGTATGATGGTGGAATGGAGTGCAGGGATGGAGAGGATGGTTATGATGGTGGAATGGGGGGCAGACATTGGGTATGATGGTAGAATGAGTGCAGGGATGTAGAGGACGGGTATGATGGGTGGCATGGGGTGCAGGGATTGAGAGGATGGGTATGATGGGTGGAATGGGGTGCAGGGATGAAGAGGATGGATATGATGGTGGAATGGAGTGCAGGGATGGAGAGGACGGGTATGATGGTGGAATGGGGTGCAGGGAAGGAGAGGATGGGTATGATGGTAGATTGGGGTGCAGAGGACAGGTATGATGGTGGGATAGGGTGCAGAGGACGGGTATGATGGTGGATTGGGGTGCATGGTGTCGGGTCCCCGGGTTCCAGGCGCGCGGTGCTCGGGGCACTTACTGTCTGAACATTCCCTCCATGTCTTTGATCTGCTGAACTCCTTGAACTCGGTGTAGGGATTGAAGACCTTCATGCTGGGCTGCTCCCTCTCCCCATCCTCTGCGTCCCCCATCCGCAGCCGCCGGTTTCGCCTGGATGCCAGCTCGTCCCCAGCCATCGTCCCCATCCCCTGGCTGACACCTGTCGCGCTCACATCCCCGGCACCCGTCATGTGACCGCACCGGCCTGGCTAGATGTAAGGAGCGGGATTGGAAGAGAACCGGGGGCTGGACCGCAGTGTGTTTGGTGGGCGTGGCATGCGCTGGTATGCACGGCTTGTGTGGAGCCGCGAACAGGCATTTTAATAGATAGCCAACTAATCGACCTCAGCCTAGTCCCAATCCATACACTTCAGTCCTCACATCAGTCCCAATCCATACACTTCAGTCCTCAGATCAGTCCCAATCCATACACTTCAGAATGCCTTGCTAACACTATAGGCGTGTTAATCAGCATTGCTCTTTCATTAAATTCTCTTTGCATGGTCCCACTTGGCTTCCAAACCAGTCCCCGCAGCCTGTTCTACATTGGGCTCCGGTGGTCTAGGGACCCGTTATGTCATCACATCTAATACATTGACTTGCATTAGATGTGAGGACGCTGAGGGACATTCCATAGCCGGAGCAGAGAGGAAAAGAGTGTCGACCAATGTGGGACGAGTATCAAGAGGGTATATTTTTTTCGCCCCCTAGACCAGCGGTCGCCAACCGGTGGTCCGTGGTCCGCGAGAAAATTTCGGTGGTCCCCGGGCCCCTCTGATGCCATGCAGGCTGGGCCATCATTGAAGCGACTCGGAGGCTCCAGCTGTCTCTAGCAGCGGCTTGTCACAAGGAATGCGCGCCTCTCAGTACAGTGCGGGCTCTGCAGGAGGCGGGGCATCTCGTCAGTAATAGTGCTGAAGCTAGGGGGGGCATGTGCCCCGGACGCCGCTGGCAGGACCAGTGGCAAATTCGATAGGGGGGGAAACAA